GGGCAGGTCCTGTTGGGCCAGGGTGAGAAATGGGTACTGTTTCCCCACTGCTTAGGCTCTGGCTCCCAGGGGAGCCTGGAGGGGACCTAAGAGAAGGATTTAGCACTGCAGAGGCTGAGGGGCCTTTGGATGATGTTGTTTCGATGGCCTCCAGAATCCGAAGCAGGGCATCAGGGGATACAGCCCCTGCAAGGGTGCTGGCCACATATGCACACCATTGGTCTGCTCTGGATGGTGTCTCATATGCCCTCCAACTGTCCTGTTGTCCACGCCATCTATATGATTGCTATGGGAAGCAGATTTCAGGCTCCAACTCAGATCTGTGGACCCAGTCTAAGATCTTTCTGATCTGGTAGTGACTTTTAAGAAAGTCTCATTTTTAGGTTGTATCCTTTAGTGGCAGAAGGAGTGGTTGAGCACAGGGCTTGCACAGGACTGTCCAAGGAAGAGCCATGGACAGCTGCTGTCCCTAAGATAAACTTCCATGGTTGAGGACAGGAGAGCTGTGTCCTCTAGCTGGGAAAAGGGGAAAGGCTCCCTTCCTGGGAATCTGAGGTAGTTTGCCTTTGAGCTCTTGGCCTCAGTGCTCCCCAGTGCCCCATAACACAAAGAGCTTCATCCATACTGCTTAGTGGAGTCCGCAAGTCATACTGTAGGGTTTCAGGAACCAAGGCTGGAGTAGTGGCACTACAGGTGATGGATGAGAGTTCAAACTTGGGCTGAGGGGGCCTCTCCCACTGGGAACCTGGCTGAAAACAACTACACACTGTCCCACCTGGCAGGCTGGATGGCACCACAGTTTTGGAGCCCCATAATTTTCATTTTCTACTTTGAGTGGCTGCCAGGGCCAGGGATGTGAGTGCATGTGCAACAACCAAGCATCCTTAAAAATAGCATTGGGACCACCACACCCTCCAAGGAGTAAAGTAGTTGCATTATTTATGACAATCTGAGATTGGCTACTTCAATGATGAGGACTGGGGTCCCTAATGTTCAGCTTGGACTATGCCCATTGCTCAAGGTCAAGGACCCAGAGGTCATTGCTCATTTGCTGGGATCCCAAAGAGCCATCAAAGACAATCATCTTATTATCTATCACACAGGAAGAGTAGCCGGCTATGGGAGGTGGCACATGAGTTGTTACAATGCAATTCCATCAGTTTTTAGAGGGTAAGTGTGTATTTTATCAAAGAATCTCTCTGGTTGGTGTAGAGGATAAGGGCTAGATTGCATCTAGCCACCAAAGAGTACCAAAAAGTTCTTGTGCAGAACCAGAGTTGCTCCAGTTTTGGGGGAAGGACAGGAGCCTGAAGCCAAAGGTCAAATCCACTCTTTTCTTATAAAAAATAAAAAAGGGCTGGGGAAGTTTCTCAGTATAAAGGCACTGGGCTCCATCTGCAGTTAAAAAAAAAAAAGCTGTGGGTGTTGTTCAGTGAGAAGGCCATAGATTCAATTTCCAGTACTGCAACAGACAAACCAACTGACCAACGAAACAAAAATACAATGAAAAAACATCATGAATTGGTAGCATAAAAGAGAAATTATGCAATAAATATTTTGAGAAAATTGGTTGAATATTTGGGAAGAAACAGAAGTTGATTTTGAATACTAATACTAATTAGTTAATTGATGAAAATCAAAACATAAAGATCGGAGATTGTTTAACCTCCAAAGTACACAAAGCTTCTATAAATTCAAAAATTTATAGTAAAATTATAATTAAAACTTTAAAAAATTGGGAAAAACGTGGAAAAATTTTACAACTCAGGATTAAACAAAAAGTTGTTGATATTTTTACATCAATGCTCCTTATGAAAAAGAACATTGAACTGCAAGAGTTAAACTGCCTTAAAATAAAAATAAATATGAACATTGATAAATACATATGAATATATAAATATGGATACTTTATAAAAATGAATATTGACTAATATGTTAATGTTTCCAAAAATGTATATTTTCAGAGTAACAAAGGAAATGACCACTCTTATACACACAGATATGCACATTCTTTTCCCTGAATGGATTAACAAAATCGCCAAGGAGGGAGGGTGGAGGGAGTAGAGTCTGTTATGTTGTTATAGACACTGTTATTTGGTACAGTTTTCTTCAGTTTGACCACATTTATCGATAGTTTTTAATCTAATGTATTCTACTTTTAGATCACCTAATAGGTAAATATGAAAGCATAGTTAACTAAAGTATGGTAATTTCAGATAAGAAACTATTGCACAAACCATTCAAACAAAAACAAACAAACAAAAAAGAAGAAATATCCTTAGGTATGCATTAGAAAAAAGTCTAGAATGTATAAAACTTCAACAAAGTACAGGTGATTTTTTTTTAATACTTTGAATTTCCTGCAGTTTAAGCCACATTATTTTCTTTTTTTTCATTATTTTCTAATAGGTCAAAAGTATAAGACATCAGATAATTCTCAACCTAATAAAAAAGCAATAAAAGAGGCACAGCAGTAAACTGGTGGCAGTGAATAATTACAGTACCCAGATTTAAAGTAGAACACAAAATATGGAAATCAAACTTTAAGAACAGAATAAAGTGGCATTAGGACAGATGAATCAAACAAAACAAAAGATGTACATAAGCTCAAGAGTACACAATGATTGATACAAAGAATGTGACCTCCAAGTGACAACCATATTTCCTAGAGGTGCCAAAATTCAGTGTTTTTAGCATCTTTTATGAAATAAAAAGCTAAGACTCTAGGGTCAGAGCCATTAAAAAAAGATACAATCATCAACCAAACACCAACCCTTGTTATCTTAAATCAATTGTACTTTTTGCTAAGCCACAGTTATCTCAACTAGTTTATTTTTTGCTTATCTCTTATTGAATAATCAAGCCCTGAAAATGGAGGTTTCAGGGCATTAATTCTAGTCAAAAGGTAAATGTATGTACAACATTAAATGAAAAAATATCTAACATTTATGGATTGAAAATTTTAATATAGTTCCAAGTCTACTACCCAACATGAGCTACAGATTCAGTGAAAACCCTTTCAAAATAAAATGTAATTTTTCATAGAAATAGAGACAAAACACTAAAATTTGTGTGGAACCAGAAAAGTCCTCAAATATCCAAACCAATTTGAGCCAACAGAATAAAGCTGTCAGCACTGTACTTTAGACTTCATAATCTATTACAAAGTTATAATAATCAAATCAATATGATACTTACATAAAAACAGATATGTTGATCAATGGAACAAGATAGAAAGCCCAGAAATGTACAGTAAAAATTATACATTTGTGGTCAATTTATTTTCAAGAAAGGTCCCCAGAATCCACAATGGGGAAAGGACAATCTCTTCAATAACTGGTGTTGGCAAAATTGGATACATACATGCAGAAAGAATGAAAGTTGACCCTTATCTCACCCAATATACATGGCTTGGCTAAAAATAAGTTTAAAGCTTTGAAACTAAAACCTAGAACTGTAAAATGAATAAGCATAGGGAAAAATTCCACAGCATTGGTGGGGGCAGTGATTTCTTAGGTATGTTCTTCCAATCACAGGCAACAAAAACCAAAATAGACAAATAGAAACAACATAAATCTGAAACTCTTCAGAGTTTTACTAAAATTAGTAAATGGAACAATTGACAGAGTGAAAAGACAACACATACTCTGGGAGAAAATATCAGCAAAACATACATTTGATGATGGGCTAATAATGTATGCAACAACTCAAGGAACTCAGAAACAAGGGAAAAAAACTCTACTTAAATAGTAGGCAAGAGCCTGGGTAGACATTTCAAAAAAAAAAAAAAACATACAAATGGCCAACAGATATATGAAAAAATGTTCAAGCATCACTAATCATCAGCAAAAGACAAATTAAAATCCCAGTAAGATATCACATCCTGCTGGTTAGATTATCTTTTATTAAAAGAAAAAAGCATGGGTATAGATGTAGAGAAAAGGGCACACTGTAAATTAGAATGTAAATTAGTATCATCTGTTTGGAAAGCAGTGGGAGATTCTTCAAGGAAACTAAAAAAAGGGAATTACCATGTGATCTAGCCATCCCATTTCTGGGTAACAGCCAAAAGAATTGAAATCAATATGTTGAAGAGCTATCTACATTCCCCAAAAGATGTGCCATTTTGAATTAGGATCTGAGTGTAACTTTATTGCTTTTCTGGATATATACATTACTAGTTCCCTCAAAAGTGATTGGCCTATAAGAAATGCATGACTAAGAAGAGTCTTCGGAGTCATGTTTGTCTTTATTCTCAATTATAATATGACTCTCTGCCACAGGGAGAGAGAGCACTAACTCTCAGATTAACATGAAATATCACTGCAATTTTGTTTGCTGTTTCATGTGCACTTTCCTTTGTGAGAAGTGGAAAAGTGCCAAATACGTTCTTTCTTTCTTTTCTTTTTTTTTTTCTGATCTAAAAGATCAGGACTTATCAAAAAAAGGTAATAATCATTAATATTTCATGGAGCATGATATACTGTTATAAGAATAGTTCCCCTGGAAAACCTTGATTCATATGATTGAGAGCTACTGAAGTTATTTATCTCCTATTTTTATCTTTAGCTAAGATCATTTTAATAAGCTGTTTTCCTTATTCATCATGATGTAGGTACTGATTCAACAGCACAGTAGATTTCATTCACTGTTCACCATAATTTCTCTTGATCAAATAATCTCAATATTGTCTCATTTTTGGACAGTTTTAAAATTAGTAATCACCATAATCCTTTTGTTTGCTTAGCCATAAAATTTGGCAATATTCATAGTTAAGGAGTGGCTTTGTGGGCTTCTTCTGAAGCAAAAACTAAATTCCTAACCTATGAGTGATCAAATTTCAGGGATTTCAATAAGTCACATGAAATAATTAGGACAAGAGCTTACATCTGCCCAGAGTCCTAGTGTCATTCCTACGTATGTGATCATTTTCTGAATGCCATTTTTTGAAGAGACGAGATATTTCTCTTCTCCACTTACTATAAATTGTGTGTTTTCAGATTGACTTCTTCCACAAGATAAATGCTAGTTTGTTTTCATCGAATAAATGCATAATTATTGATGAAACACAAATCCAGTGTATCCTGACTGCTAATCTACGAAGTCAGCACAGACGTTGTTAGAGTTGGATTTGAGAGAACAGTACCTTCGGAATGACTAGAAAGCAACAGGAGTATGTTGTGAATGTTGAACAAAATGTGGCTGAGATGGTAAGTAATATAAGCAACTTTTAATAGCTCTCATATACTTTTCTTGCTTTCAACATTTAGTTTTTAACCCTGCAAGAAAATTACATTGCATTTTTTATATTTGCTGTTACAAAATGAATGGAATCTATGATGTTATTATTATCAGTAATCATAGGGTTGAGGAAATTGTTAGCATGTCAAATAGTGCTTTCCTATCCCTGGGAAATTGTGCATTAGATATTTTACCTAAAGTTTAATATGCATGTCAAACACTTACAGTAAGAGTAGATGAAATTTTGGTAGATGATTTAGAATGTCATGTTTAGAGCAAATATTAACCTTATTTTAAAATTTTTACATATTTTAGTCCAGGGCAAGGATTTACCCCATTGTGGCCTACTAGAATTTAAAACAATTATGAAAAATGTCTCATGGTAGAGTGATCTATACTTAAAATGGTGAATATGTCTCATTTACTATTCAAAGGAATTCTTTCATTTTACAAATGAAAAAATTGAGGATTTATTAGTCCACGTTGTTGGTGTCAGAGTTAGAAACTGAATTCAGATTTCTCACATATAATCTTCAGTTTATAAGAAATTACTTTTCAAAAAAGTAACCGCTACATTCTGGACAAAGAAAAAATTAATTTGATGATTAACTTGAAGTTATACACAAAATGAAATATAGAATTTGATATATAAATTGGTTTTAATTTGAAGTTTGCATTTGTGACAATGTTGTTTCAATAACTAGAGTACAATATATTCAATTTAAACTTGCCTTGTATTTCAAGAAAGCTACAAATGTTATTGTTTTAGCATGATATGTACATTATTTTATTTTTACAAAAATACACTGAATATGACTTACAGAGTTTCACAGTTAAGTTCAATAAGTTAAATAATTATGCCAAGAGAACAAATGGCAAGCCAAACTTCTGAGTTGTTAAAGAAAAAAATATAAAAGGAATGACTAGAATTTCTCAGTTTTTGTGCTCTGATAGATGACCTATAACTTCACACAGTACCAAAACTAGGAAAAGATTTTGGATAAGTATTGTAATAGTGTTATTTTCTTATGCTGAAATATTTAAAAGACATAGAAAATTCAAAAAGAAAGAGAAAAAAATCACTCATATTTCTGCTCAGAGGAAATCAGTGCTAATGTTTTCTTCTCCATCTAATCTAATTTTATTTTTTGGCTGATTTATTTTGCCACTTGAATTCTTGTCAATTTACCTAAGGGTTTTCTTCAAAAATTCAAGAAAGATAATAATCGAAATTTAGGGAATTAAAACTTTTTATAAGAGGACATTTGTTCAAGTTGTCTTTTTGTTCCTCGGGAAAGTTTTATGGCTTTATTTACATAAATCTTATGCATTTTTTATGCTTAACCTTTTATATATTTTATTACTACTATGAGAAGCAGTACACACAGCCACACATACACAAAAAATAATTATTGTTATATATATTTTTATAACTAGCTAACCTAATAACTGCTTATTACTTTGGAAAGGTAATACACTTGGTTACTTGAAATTGTTTGTAGATAATTATATCATCTGCAAGTAATAATATTTTTGCTTTTACATATTTATTCTTCTTAGGTACTGACAAAAACTTCTAGGAAAACATTATCTAAGAGTTTTGGTAGAAGACTTTATCCACTTTTCCTTAGTGTAATAGAGTGGTCCTGATATTTCACTTTTAAATGTGACATTGATTATTGTTTTGAGGTAAACATTCCTTAGAACACTTATAAATTTTTAAATTTTATTTTTAGTACTACATTGAAATTTGTTTTGCTTATCTGTTTTGTCAGGGTTTAATGCTGAAATTTGTCAAATGATCCTTGGACATATACTGAGATGATTGCTTTATTTTCCTTCTTTGATCATCTGATATAAATAAAGTATTTGTATATTTCATATCCTTAAACCATTATTACAGTTTCAGTGATCCTTAGAATTTAATTATTTTATTATTTAATACATGTTGAGCTCACATCACTTTGTATTTATATGCTTATGTTCCCAATAAGATAAAGTTTCCTCATCCTTACCAATCAGGGTTTGTTTACTTATCTGTTTGTATATTTATTTGCTTCTTTGTCTATTTCTGTGCAGTGTCCCACAAATCCACACCGTTCAGATGAAAGAACACAATGTGATTGTAGACTGCACAATGTGATAATCCAGCCTCAGATGGTAAGGTTTGGCGAGGAGATAAGTGTCAATCATGTTCTGGAATAATGGTGAAATAGGACAGGCTGGTCCTTCTCCATCAACTCCTCTGCAGGGTACTATCGGCCACTACATGAGCTCCTGGAAACACCTGGGACCCATGTTCCTTACCGGGGTATCAAGGTTGAATTCTATTTAAGATCTTGCTCCACAGCCAAATGATTTTTTCTATTTTTATGTATTCAAATTTAATAAAATTCCTGTTATTTATATTTGACAGATAAAAATGTACTTAGTAAATAATTTTACCAAACTTCAATAGGTGATGTGAAAATTTGGAATAACGAATAATCGAGAAATGCCAATTCAAACAACGATGAGATTCCACCACACCCCAGAAAGAATGGCTGCTATCGTGAAATCAACCAATAACAAATGCTGGTGGGGCTGTGGGAGGAACAACTGTTGATGGCAGTGCAGACTGGTGCAACCACTGTGGAAATCAATAGCAGATACCTCAAAGAGCTAGGATTAGAAGTCCCATTTGACCCAGCTATTCCCTTGCTGGGTATCTTTCCAAAATAATTGAATGAATCATACCATGGTGATATATGTGCACCATGTTTATAGCGGCACAGTTTGTAATAGCAAAAAACTTGGAAACAGTCCAATTGCCCATCAACTGGAGACTGGATAAAAAAATAATGAGATTAAAAACGCTGCACTTTTCCACACCCAAAGATAACCAGTGTAAATGTTTTAATATGTCTTTCCATTATTTTTCTACCTATTAGGGCTAATTAGAAAATTTAATTTATACTTAGATATTAATAGCTGATAATAGCATAATTCCTCAGGCAATCTATTTGCATTTGAGATGAATTCTTATTACTTTAGTACAAAGGGATGAATAGGAGGGGCCCTTTGTCTTCATAGACTCACGAGGGAGGTATATATGTCTGTGTGCACTTTGCGTATGTAATGTGTGTGTGTGTGTGAGAAACAGACAGAGGCAGTGACAGAAAAAGACAGAGAAATTGAAAATGTATGTTTTCATTACAGCATTTGGAATAATGAATGTATTAGTCTTATTCTAATTGAAATCCATTACCTAAGTCGCCACTATGTAATTTGCTGATAGTCATTTTTATTAACCTTGCAGGCTACAGGAAAACCACGGTCACTCTGGAAAATGTGTCTAGTGTGTCTTTTGGCCTGCTTAATTGCCTCTGCCACTGCAGTTCTGGTCTTACATTTTGGCCAGTTTGGCAAGCCCACCAGCAGTACCACCATCATCGTTCATGCAGATGGAAAGTCTAGTCAGGATCCTGGAGTCTCTACTTCTACTTGCTGTCTTGACCCATTAATCACAACTGGACCTCAAAGCACCACGCCTTCTACCCCCACAACCAACCGAAGTACATCTACTAGTGTACCAGTAACTTCTGTCAGGAAGACTATCTCTACTACCACCACAGCTACAGTGCACAAGGTTGAACTTGATGAAGACTATGAGGAGGCATAGTCTCGAGCCTCAGTGCTCCTCAAGTCAGATTTAAACTTTCACCCCAAAGGAGGTATGCCCCGCATTCTCTCCCCTTACCATGAGGTTCTGGATTTTAAGAGCCTGTTCCTCTTGCTCAGTCCTTTTCTGGCTTCTCAGGTGGTGATGACAGTCTTGGGACCACTGATATTCAAATGATTGGGAAAGGAAAATGACTACAAGTCTGGGCAATTCACTCAGGCTACATCAAAGAATATTTTTTCCCCTCTCCTGTATAACCAGCCTCGTGGATCACTAATGAGAATTTCAGCTCATAAAAAGGCTGCCAGTGAGCCCTACTCAACTTAGCTTCCTGCATTCTGTTTGTGAATCCAGTATCTACCATCTGGCCAGTGTGGATTTTCTCCTAATATCTTTTATTTGACTCTTTTTCAGTATTTGTATGCCAGCAGAGAAAGAAGCAAATGTTCAATTAAAGAGATTAACAAGCATAATTTACTCAATACCTATTGATTTTTACAAAGGGGTGCCTCCTGTTGGTGAATTCAGAAACAGTGGTCATCACTGAGAAGTAAACAAGGAAGAATTCTGAGAAAAAGTTGAGCTTGGGAAAGGGATGAAGGTTTCGATTTAAGGAGATGGTTAAAGCAGAAAATGAAAACACTATGGAGATGTTATGGAATTAAAACCAAAAGCACACTCAGAGCTCAAATGTAAGCAAGTGACATATTTACATGAACCTGCAATTTCTCAAGGATTGTCAGTAATATTCTCCATATCTGATATTGCTTAACCTCACACTATTTTTGAACTATTATACATTTTAAGCTTTTTTGTTGTTTTATAACTCATTGCATAACTCAGAGGACATATTGCTTATAATTTGTTGTGAAACATGAGACTCATTCAGTGTTACTCATGCTACAAGTGATTAGTACAGTACTAATTAGAAGCATACGTTTTTCAGTCTGGAAAAGACTTCAGAGGTAAAGAAACCTGTCTGCCCTACCACCTGCCTACTAACTACAAAGAGGGAAGATTAACCCAGGAAAGACTAAGCCAAAGATTTAGACTTAGTGAGTCAACATTAGAACTCATGTCCTAAATTATACTTTCTGAATCTCTTTTACACACGATTAGAGGTCCTACTTGCATTCTAAAAGCATGGTTTCATTTTTCAAGATTTCCCAAGGCAACAGACTTTTTACTTAGTATAAATCTAGGATGGTTTTCTGCGGTCAATAATAGACCATTTAAATCCTTGTTGAATGATTAAGGTCTGCATATGAAAGATTAGAAATTAAAATTCTTTAGATAGTTGCTACCTACAGGCAGCTAATATTTCTCAAATCTGATTACATAAAATTTGAGTATTTCAGGAGTTATTAGACGAAGCACAAACATTAGTAGTAGACATTGAGAATGATGAGAGGTATAGTGTAAATGTTAAACAATAAATTTTGTTAAGCTCTAGATAAGAATAAGGCACTGGGAGTAAGTACTCATGCATCTTTCCCCCACAGCATAACTTTAAAACAATGTAACTTCTATTGTACTTTGATTTAAATGCCTATGAAAGGAAAGCTTAAATTTACTAGGACTTACGTAATTTAAACTCTGCTTTGTATTATAAAAGTGAAAAAAGTTGTAAGGCATTCCCTAAACAAATAAAGAGTAATACAAAATGTTCAGTATTCTGCAAGCCTTCATTTTATTGGTTAGTGCTTGTACAGCATAATACTTACATTGGTTTTGAGAAATTGTCACATGTATACTCATATACTGATCATTTCTGAGACCCTTTCCTTTTCCCCTTCTCCTTCCTTTCCCCATATCCTTTTCTCCAGGCCTTCTTAAGTAACTAGATTCTCTTACAAGAGTGGTTCTCTTCCCTGACTCTTCCAATGACAGAGAATAAACAATACAAAAGCATACCTTCTTTATGCTGAAGGAGGGTCATATCTCAGCAATTTCCTAGTTTAAATATTGGTTGTAAGGAGACTGAGGTTATCTGAGATGACCATCTTTTTGTTAATAATAAAATGGAGACACAAGAAACTCTTGAATTTTTTTTTTTTTTTTTTTTTTTTTTGGTTTTTACCATTTTATTAAAT